GTGGGAACTGTCTGTCTTTGGATGCAGCTTCCAGGAAATGCCCACCCCGTGCTACCTACTATAAACACGTGGAGGGCTGTTGGAAGTTTGTCTGAAGGGAGTGCCCAGTGAGGATGGCAGGACGGACAGGCACATATTTCACAGGAATTCAATACTGTCACTCTGTATCATGAGTGTTTGTGGCCATTTAATGTCACCAGGGCCTGGCTGAGGCATGCCACCCTGAGGACTGAGCAGCTTATTTGGGATATGCACCTTGCCTTTGCAGATGGCGTTGTGCAGCTCAGTGGTCTCTAAATAAAGCCTGTAGATTTATACTTGAATGGTTTAGGAAACACACCTTTGTTGCTGTCAAAAAACTGTGCAACTGGTGCTTGAACAGCTATCTGCTGTCTTACTGGCTGCAGGCCATTTCTCTCTGCTGTGCTGGACCTGACAGAGCCCTGGAGAGCCCCTGTGGAAAGGCTGCAGTGGATCAGGTCACTGCACAAACCTGCCTGCAGTCTGTCAATCCCAGTGGCACAGGTTTGAGCCACACAGCTGTGGATGTTTTGCTGGTACATGAATGGGAGCAATCTTGTGAGTCAAATGCTGAAGGGTTGCAGGCAATCTTGGATTTACATGTTCATACACATGGATGTGTGTCTGTGAATGTTTGTGGCTCCGTCTGAGTAAATTTTTAAGAATCTCCAAGGGCTTCCTTTTTGGGCGACCTATTCTGGTTGTTCACCACTGCCCCAATAAAAAATTTGTTTCCCAGTGTCCCTCCTGAACCACTGGATTCACAGCCATTGACTTTTGTTGTATTATTTAGCCCTACAGAGAAATATTTTGTTCTCATTGCAACCTCTTGTCAAGTGGTTGTAGGAATTTCTTGGAGTTGTTGCAGTTTCCTTGGAATGAAGATTATCCAGGGTGAACAATGGACTTTCTTGTTTCTTTTTTTTTTTTTTCTGCATCTTAGTATTCCATTTCTTGGTGTGTTTCTTGGATTTCCATCTGGGATTTTATATATGCAGCAAGGCTTATTGACTATTATTTAATAGACTCATTTAACACAATTATGAAATTGATCAGGGTCAAAGATATACCTTTGTATGGCTCCCCTTTCTTTGAGAAGTGGTGAACCTGTCTTTTCATAGCCAAACACTTGAGCAAACTGGAGTCTCCAAGTACTAGAGTCAGTGAGTGGTCTTCCTGTGATGGTCTTTATTGGAAAATTCTTAATACTCCCTTTTTGCTGCTTTTTCCCTCCACGTTGTGGGGCTCCAGGTTTCATTCTGCCACGGGCTCTGAAACCCCTGCCTCTACTGCCCATCGTGGCTTACGTGGATTCAAAACCAGTTAAAGGCAGTTCCTGCTGGTAGCCTTTGGGTCAGTTGTCAGCAGGTGGCTTTGTCCTTTATGTGAATGTGAGGAAGCCCCAGACAGCTGCTGGACAAGGCCCCTGCCCTGGAATGCTGGCCAGCCTGGGCTTATCAAGCATTAGAAGAGCTGTAAAGCAGCAACTCAGACTCAGACACATCACCCTGATGTGAACTTGCTTATGGAGAAACATAACATCTGAAACCCCTTTATCTTATGGCACAAAGGACAATGTGATATATCAGACTGGACACCCATGCACCTCTCCATATGTGGGGCTACACCCAAAACAGAGAGCTGCAGGTTTGATTTGGATTTTGGATGGCATTTTTTAGATCCCTGCCTTCCCAGATGAAATCAGTACCAGTGATGAGTGGGATATTTCTGTGCATCCACCTGAGGTGAGGAAATTGCCCTTTTCTGTCAGCTCTGGTGTCCAGGCCTGATACCACACTGGGGTTGGGAGCTGGAGCAGAGCATAATTACCCAACTTCAGCCATGTTTCATGCACAGAGACTGTTACCCCATTGCTTTGACACCAGGCTGCTTTTCTTTTTCCTTTCTTTCTGTTATTTTTTTAGGTGGAATTTAAGGCGTGAATTGCAAAACACAAAGCAGCTCTGGCTGTGATTACCCCTGTGAGTGCCTTTCCCTCCTCCTGTGGTCACAGACAGCCGAGGAAAAGCAAAAGCTGTCAGGTCCCTGCAGAAAAAGAGAGAAATTAGTGCTGGCAGAGTCTGTAAGAGACAACTTATCTGCTGTGAAGTTTGAGTCCCTTGTTCCTGCTGGTGTGATCTGTTAACGTAACATGCCTGAAATGTTTTCTTACATTCTTACAGTTTTTTCTGAGACATGCAAGATGAGAAACGTGGGGGTATTTACTCCAGTACTAGAGGAATTGTGATGGGCTGGTTTTCTTTTTGTGCATTTACAATCTATGCCATTGATTATAGTATACAAATTAGTCACATAAATATGTCTGCATTTATGTGAAGATCTATGTAAAGCTTCTGCTTTAAAATCTGTAATGGATTCATAGGTGTTGTGTAATTAGATTAAAGAAAAAGTCCTTTTAAGAAAAAAAGTGTGACATTAGAGGAGGTCTTTCAGCAAGTGTGTTTAGTACATTTACTGCTATCAGTATCAGCTGGTAGTACTGAAAAAGCATTAAAGCAGTTTTGTTAATATTCAGCTCTTTTAATTCTTCTCACTAGTAATTTAAAAATACTCTTCTTAGATTCAGTCCCATGTTCTTCATGGCACTTCTGTAAAGTCCTGCTCTACTGGGTTGACAGGTAACATAAAAGAGTTTGTGCTTTAAAAAGGCACACAGCCATGCCCCTGAACCTTGGTGATATTTCTGTGAACTCCCCAGTTGATGGCAAGGAAGTGCACTAAAGCCTTACTTTCTTCTCCCTGTGGTAAGCAGACTTTCCTCAAATAGCAAGAGGTAGGTAAGTTTAGTGTAGTCTGGTTTTATTAATGTTTTCCAGAATTAATACTAAGTAAATCTCAGATCATATTCCCTGTCAGACTTCTAATTGCTCCAAGTATATTGCTTATTCCATTTCTAGGTGTTTACCTCTTTATTTACTATCTGGTACCATTCTTCTTCTTTTCCTTCCCTTCATCTTCAGTCCCCACTTTCTTGTCATCAGTCTAAGTTCACTTGCATCCAGGTTGGGCTGAGTGACGCAGACTCATGTGTCTATGTTCAGAGGCCATTTAGAAAACAAAATGATTGTTTGAATTTAGTTCTTGACAAGTTTTTGTATTTAAAATACAAGTTGTTGTATTTAAAATGCAACTACCCCAGGTAGTTGTTAGCGATTACAGGGACAGAAATAAAAATCTGCCTTATTAAGTTTTTCTGTATAAATACCAGGATTCCCTAATTTGGGTATTTCACTATTTTAAAGATTGATATTCCAGTTTAAGGTAGCAGCCTCAGGGGATCCGATGGGCAATTTTTGTGAATACTTCAGCCAGTCTTCGTTGGTGTTGTTTAAATAAAAACATTTAGCTGCTTAAGTTTGGAGCCTTGTATTTAAAAACAAATGCCACACCTAAACAAAAAGTCTGTCATCAGTTTTCTATTGTGAATCATATTTTTACTAAAAGTCCTTTTTCCTTAAGTGGCTTGAAGAAAAAATTTTAAATTTTATGGAAATGCTCTGTGGTTTCTTAGCTAGTACACTACTGATCTATAGGCAGATAGAACTAAATGTGTATGTAGTCATTACTGTTCTGTATTAGTTCTGTTTTGCTTTGGGTTTTTTCACTATTAATTCTCAGGTTGTTTTCACATTGCACTAATCATTCCAATTACAAACGTTTAATTTGTCATTTGCTGCATATTAAATTCCCTTCAGCTGCATTTCAAACACTGATGCTAGCCTGTGATTCTGAACTCATGGTTCAAAAGAAGGCTCATTCTCAACCAGAAGTGTTGAATTCCCTACAGTGTTTTGTTTCCTTCATGCAGCATCGAGCAAATTTGAAAAAGATGATTATTCACCTCACACTTGGGATCTGCTTCAGTTCCTCTTATGGCTGTGAGGGAGATGTCAGCCAGGTCATGGCTTTGCTCAGCCTGTAACAGGCTGGCAGAAAGTAGGATGGTAGTTACTCGTGGAAGCACTTCCACATCCATTTCTATCTCATTGCAGAACCATGTGGATTCCTGTTCCAGGGCTGTGAATTAAAACCAGGAGGTGCTTTCTTTAGGATGTAACTGCAGAAACACATTCCCATGCAGTTTTTTGGTTGGCCACTGCCTTGTTTTGGATAGGTCAAGCAACTCTTTCATGGACTGTTGTATTGCCAGCTGCTTTCTAGTTTGGAAAACATTTGTAGAAATAGTACTTTGTTCATCCTTTTTTTACTGATAGATACAGCAGTAGTACAGGAGAGATTATTGAGAGCAGCAGTAGTGATACTTGAAAGGGTGTAGGAGAGAAAGCACGACCTTGTTGAGGAATATGGCTGGAAGTGTTTCTGCTTGTGTGTTTATAATAAACACAGTGCAGTGTGAGGAACAGTGTCTCCTCCTTGGAGGGACTGTGGGTCAGCAGAAGGGAGGAGAAGGGGCATCAGGACCTCCTTGTTAAAATACATTGGTAAACCATGGCTGGAAACAGCTCTGAGCTGTGAAGAGCTGCATGGATGCCCTTGGCTTGCATAGCTGGAGTGTGTCCTATTGCAGCAGGCAGGATAGGAATGGGGAGAAGGGGATCAGGGTCTGCAGCTGCCCACAGCTCTGTCTGTGCCTGCAGAAATCACTGCATTGGGAAAAATCCCAGGTTTTTTCTTTGCCCAGCCACAGGTTGATTGTGCAGCCTTGCCTGGATGTCTCAGATCTCTGAGCATACTCCCCTTTGGTTAAGATGAGGCTGACCAGGCTGAGCAAACTGCTCTGAAATGAGCAGGTATGAGCCTCCTGTCTGAGTGTGCCAAGCAGCATTACTGCATTTCAAGTGACCTTTCAGTCTGAAACTTTGCCAAAGGGAGGGGAAAGGAAGCCACGGTTGACTCGAGTTCTGCACAGAGATCCTGCAAACAGATGGTGTTTGCATATAGGAGACTCTGCTCGGGTGCAGCTCCACTACAACGCTCTTCGTTTTTAATGATTGCAGGCGGGCTAAACTCCGGCTATATTTGGAACAGCTAAAACAGCTTGTGCCTCTCGGGCCGGACAGCACCAGACACACCACTCTAAGTCTGTTGAAAAGAGCTAAGATGCATATCAAGGTAAAAACATTCATCCATGTTTTTATTTCTTTTAAGGGAGAATCTTCCAGAATGTGTATCCATAGAGAGGAAACAAATTTTCACACAAAATCCATATCCATATGTCCAATCTTCTGGATTTATTGGCCTTTATTACTTGCAGGGATTTCAGTCACAGTGTCAAAGTTTAGTGTTTTGCAATTTAGCATCTCAGATATATAAAACAGTGGTTTTGTTATGAGTTACTAACTAGTGTATTTAGTGATTTACACTATAATAAAAAAAAAATCTATCAAAGCTGTTCTTTGATTAATATATTTATTTTTTAAGAACTGAGCAAAGTAGCATTGTACTGCATTTACTAAAATGTAAAAAGCCAGGTCCATTAATGATGAAAAAAAAATAATAGAATCAAAAATACCATATCTATTAGTGAACCCTACCCCATCGACATTTTGTTGACCAGATTCTCATTTGAATGAAACAAAAAATTAACTGTAATTTCCTTTTAGTTGCTGCTCCCCTTGCTACAAGTTTAAAACAAAAAAAACAGCCTCAAATCTGATCTATGATCCAGCAGCAGTGCAGGTTCTACAATTGCACAGGGAATTTAAAGGAAATTGTTCCTCAGAACTTCTCTCTCCAAAGACACCTTCACTCCCGTTTTCACTGTCATTATTTTCAGGGAACAGGGCTATATGCAGAAATAAGACAAAGAGGTATTCAAATGTAAAAATTAAAGAACAGGTTTCTGCTGCTGTGTCCAGGACTGTAATTACTCATCTGGCATTTTTTCAGTGTTACAGAGAAACAGGTCAAGAAGAGTGTCAGGCAAAATTGAACACTGCCAGTAATCTTGAAGTATTTTGGAGAACAGCCTGCTGATGCACAGCTTTAAGATTCACTGCTGTTAAAGAAGTGGGTGTGATTCATATGAAGAAATAAAGATTAATTTAAGCAAAACCATTCTTGTGAACAAGTTTACAGAGCTACTTTTTCAGCGCTTCTAAGCACATTTGCTCCAGCTGGGCAACCCCTGTTTTTACCATTTGAGATTTTGGCCTCTTGTTTATAATTCAGGCTAACATGCATGAAAGGCACTGCATGTGGTTTTTGTCTTGGGCTGCCCCCCTATGATGGGTTTATGCATACAAATTGAAAAAGTGTTTTTACAAGTGGCGAGTGTGCGAGATTAGCCCTGTAGTTACCATTTCAGCTGCTGATAAAAAAAGCTGGGAACAGATTCTTTCCAGATCTGTTTTGCACAGCACCAAGTACTCATCTTCTGAAAACCAAGACTGAATTTTAACTTTCTTTTTAGGATTTTAACTGAACGTGCCCTAACTGGGTTAGCATTTAATTGCTGCCCTTTGTCAGGTCAGCTCCCTCCCCTGCCCTGGCAGAGCTTGCCCGTGCCCAGCTGGCATTTTGAACACAGTCATTAGTTCTCAACTTTTCACACACTCACGCCCCCCATATATTGAGATCTGCACTGAAAGACTGGACGGTTTTGAGTCTCCTGGATATGAATCACTAAGTTCTTTCTTAAAATAGTTGTTAGAGTTTGGGATTGCAGCCAGGAAAATGCAGGAAAAGGAAGTCTGATCAATTGGGCACATTTGGTTTGTTGTGTACATGGATGTACCAACCCCTTTCCCTATTATAACATTGTGTATCCACCTATGATGATAATCTACAGAGCGTATTGCCTGGGAGGAGGCTTAAAATGTGGCAGAAGAAGGTAGATTTCATTGAGCCACCAAACTGCCCCATTCACGGCTGTCAAATATTTTTTCAAACACTTTTATTTCAGGCTTGCATGGGAACAGCAAAGTCTCTGAAAGGGTTTTGCTTGTGTTTTGCTGTGCACTATCCCAGCCTGCTCTCCTCAGAAAACCAAGTCTAGCTTCATTCAGGCAGCAGGGAGGAAACTTAAGCAGCTGTATTCACTCCCTGTACATCTCCTAAATCTCGGTGATCATGTAAACACAGCTCACAGAGAAATCTGCTCACTCTTAGGAGTGCTTTTACTCCCACAACCTGTAATTTACTGCATCAGATAGATAATTTTTTTAATAATAAAAAGTGTTTTGATTTGTGTATCCTTCATGTTTTTAATCCCATCATACTCTTACAAATTTTTCCCTAATTATGCAGTCACTTTTTTTTTAAATGGCTAGCAGTGATTTGGAGAAGGGCTCAGTTCAAATACAAAAAGGTACTTTATTCCTGTTACTGCATTTGGACCAACGGTGCAGCACATTTCACTGAGTGTGAAGCATTCTTTTTATTTGCAAAATTAATACCTGATTTTATTCTGTCAGAGGAGAGATTTTAGGTTGATATGTGAAGGATCCTTTCACAGGCTGTTTGCTGAGAAATTCTGAATTAATACCACCGACTTTGTAGGTGATATCATAGAATTATCATACTTGCTCTGCAGAAGTTCAAGGACAAAAAAAGCAAGAATAAAGAGAGTTGTTAGTAAAGTCCTCCTTCAATATATAATTAATGCTGCTTATTGTGAATGAAGCTTTTTAAATGCTAAAATTTTCCATGGCCTGCGGTAGGAGTGAGAACATTCAGAGACTCACGATGGTTCCTTTATGGTGATAGGTGTGGTAAGAGACTCATCTAAAGATGCATTATGTTCTCACTGAAACCTGAGCTGTGCTCAAGTTATCAAAGATGATGCTGGTTTCACCTGATAAAATGATTTACATATTGTCCACAACCAAGGCAACAATAATTTGATCTTAGCCAAGGAACGTCTGCTAGTGGCAAGAGACTCTCTGAGGGATTTTTTTTCAATTATTTTTTTTTCCCCTGTAACCACATATCTTACTGTGAAACAAATTCAGCCTGCTAAAATTGTACTGACCTTTACAGAATGCTAACTAAAAAATTGAAATTTTAAATTTAATTTTATCTTGATATTAATTAATTAAAATACTTAAATTATTTTCAAATTACTGTTTATGAGAAGACCTTAAGTTTCTTATGCTTTGACATGGGTACAAACTTTCAGCTTACTGTGTTTCTCTCCTTTTAAGAAATTGGAAGAACAGGACCGAAAAGCTCTAAATATTAAAGAACAATTACAGCGGGAGCACCGCTACCTCAAGCGCAGATTGGAGCAGCTCTCCGTGCAGGGCATGGAGCGAATCCGCACTGACAGCATGGGATCAACAATATCCACTGACTCTGAACAAGGTAACTGAGCCCCGGCTTCCAAAGGCACCTGCACGAGCAGGAAGAAAAAGGGAAGTAGGGAAACAAGGAAATGTCATCTAGAACTAAAATCAAGCTTTCAACAAAACCCAAACAAAATTATAGCGTAATGAGATTTGAAGAGTAAAAAATTGAGGCATCTCTTTCACGTTCTTTGAAAAATGGTCTTTTTCCTAATCACTTTTGAGGCTCTTAGTATTGTTCGTGTTTTTAAAGCTTTTTATCCTGCATGTGTTTTTTGCCAGTTTTTTTAACAATTGCCATTTAATGTTTTGAATTTTTAGTGTAGTTATTGGTAAGGCTGGTGTAATATTTTCTAGTGGAAAAAAGATATCTTATTTAGCTTAATTAATTTGTGGGAATAAATTATTTCCACATAATTTATTGTGAAATTTTAAAACATTTTCTGTGCAACAATCACCAAGGGTTCTCTGCATTTGCTTCTCATTTAAGACAGCTTGTCAAGCTGGCTGTTGCCAGTTTTTGTTTCCCCATTTGGAAGTTTTTCTGGGTGGAAGAGTTGCCCAGGCTGGCTGTTTCAGAGCCCAGGGGGGTTGAGTGGTCCTGGGGCAGTTACCTGGGGACAGGTGGTCACACCATGGGCTGCCAACACCTGCATGGTTGGAATTGCCATGGACAGTGCTGCAGTGTGACCACCTCTGAGGGCCAGCTTTTTTCTAAATCAGTGTCTGTGTGCAGGTTGGAACAGTTCTGGGAAAGCATTTGGTATTGATGTCATGCAGTATATTTATGTGGCTGAGGACAGAAGGGATTTTAATTCTCAGGTGGGCAAGATGATCCTTTCCTCAGGAATTACTGTGCCAGTTCTTTTTTTTTTTTAATTATTGCAACTGAAGTGTGATTCAGGTGTTGATTGACACTGGCCCATGACTAGTTGCTACAATTTTCTGAAAATGTGCCTTCTTATGTTTCCTTTAGAAGTAGACATTGAAGGAATGGAGTTTACTCCAGGTGAAATGGACAGTATTGGAAGTGCCAGTGATGCTGAAGACCACTACAGTTTGCAGAGCGGTTCGAGTGACGGAGGTTACACACATTCCCGCAGACTGAATGCCAGGCTCTCATAGTGCCTGAGTTACCTGCCCAACTCAGGACCATCTGACTGAAGCACTTATATATGAATATTCCAGAGGTGTCAACTGCCACTCTTCCGGGAAACCCCAACCACAACACTCTGACATGGAGGTTTCTTACCCACGGTTCCCTGCACTGTAACCACAATATTAGATATTGTAAATCATGGGTTTGCTGCAGAGAACTGTGGTTAGGTACAGTTGTGACTTAAAGCTAGCTTGATGTAGCCATCCTGCAAATTAAAGGAAATCAATTATGTCGTTCCATTCAAGAAGTATTAAATTCAAACTGTTGGAAGCATGCGTAAGGGAGTTTGACAGTTTATTTTTGATTTTGCAGAAACCATTTTCAAACATGGAAGAATAAATGAAATCTACAATGTGTTAGTGATTCGGAGATACAAAAACTGAAAACTACTTTTTGTGGTATTTTTTCATGGAAAAAAAACCCAAACCCAAAACATTTGGAATGCTGTATAGTGGGCTCCATAGAGTAAATTCTTTCAGCAGTTGTTGTTTGGGTGAAGCAGCCAGATAAATCTTCGAATCTCAAATGATCTTTAGAAAAGGTCATATTTACAAGTCACTACTGTACTTCAAAACGGGGGAAAAGCCAGCTCTAATAATGACTTCATGTGGGATGATCTCAACTTTCTTTTGCTTTTTGTATTCAATATCCAACCAGCAGCAAATCATTCTATCCATGTTAACGGGAGCAGTAGAAAGCAACATGGCAGTTTTAACCTGTTACTGTGGAATGGATGACATTTGAAGCATTTCAGTGGTTTTATGGGTTGTTGTTTTAATTTCTTTCTCTGAAGAATACAAAACTCAAGTGATCCAGTTTGTGATAGTTAATCCTTCCTTGCAAGGAAATCTGTTTGCTTGCATTTTTTTTTCTTTTCTTCTATTTACACATGTCAATACATTTTTATGGAAGGCATGGCTTAAAATTACAGTATTCAGCTAGAAGATAATTTTTTTTCTTTTGCACACTATAATTGCATTTTCTATTCTTAAAAAAGTGCAAAAAATTTAAAGTGTATGCTGTAAAACAGCAAAGTTTATTTAGTACTCATCAAGCTGTTCAGAACATATTTACCCAAATTGTAGCAATACTATGAAGATGTATTTTAATACAACTTCTGCTTAGTGAAGTCATTAGAGCTTGGCTTGCCGGGTAAGAAAAAAATGGACCAGTCTTTGCATTATCTGTTTAAAGAAGGTCTTTTAAAAAAATAAAAAAAAA